AGGAATTTGTTCTGTGAACCACGAAAAATTTCCATTGCAGGTTTAGTCAATGCTTCAATTCTATTTGTATGCCTATTTTAGAATTATCAATGGACAACAATAATTTCTCGGGGGGAGAAATTAAAGAAGAAATTAAAATGGAGAAAATATGGTAATCTAATTCCAGTACCTGTACCTGAGCATATGTCATCCGTCTGTCTTCCTACACTGACTGTTCCCCTATTAACATTGTCAGAACTACTCACCCTAAAGATACATTCCTACTCTTTTTTTGCCTTTTACTACCACTTCTTTTTAAACCGTTTTTCCCTTTCCAGCCAATGTTTTGAAAACAAAGTTTAAATTTTTTTTCTTTCTTCACCTTTTTACTTCCTATTCAACACTTGGTTCTCTCCAGTTTGGCCTGTTCGCACCATTTCACTGAAGGTAGGGTGGTAATGAAAATGCTATCAAAAGTAATAGTACAATTATTTATGACACTTAATTACTAATTTAATTTTTTTGTAATAATGGAAGAGTTTGCAAATTAAGAGTATATTTCATTAATTTGCATAAAATAAATTTTACAGCTTTTAGACAATAAAATTTGTCATAACATTTAATCACTTAAATGTGAGCAGTACAGTTACAACTTTCTGGGGATGGTTAAGTTTTAAAGCCAGAGCCTAGAATTAAAATTACCCTTGATATAGCCCTTATGTTGCCCAAGTATGTACAAGAAATATGTGTGGTGTTGTGTATACATTAATGACTCCCAGTGAACACTACACAAATATTTGTTCCTTTGTAATTTAATCTTATTGCTGTTTCTTCAATTGGTGAGGTCTTGGCTTCTAGTTATATGTCCCATAAGAATATTTTTTCCCCAGTCATTATTAAGTTAAACACAGGAATGTAGTGACTCTTCTACATAACATAAAAGTTAGCAAAAGCTAATTTTTGCTGTGTTACATTATGATAAATTTGACCACTGTAAATACATCTGCACAGATTTATGTACTATGATATTAAGGCAACATTTTAGGTGAGTATTTAATTAAAATTTTTAAAACAAAATTAATATCATGTTTATTAAATATGAGGGATTTAAAAATATTTAAGAGGGTGAAGGCTTAGGCTTATGCAGAAATGTACTTTGTATCATTTTTATTGATATAGTATATTCTCATGCATTATTTCATTTACTTCTCCCAACAACTGTATCGAGCAGGTAGCCACAGCCGTATTTCTATTTTAGGGATGAGGAAAGGGGATAGGGAGATTAGGAAGTCTCCTCAGTGAGTGTCACCAAGTCATAGCCAGTAAGTGGCAGAGTCAACCTAGGGACATACTGATCTTAAAGACCAGTCTCCTAACCACAAGGCTATATTGTGCAATTATACAAGAGAATCTTGGAAAAAATTAATAAAGGTGCCTTTTGGTTTGGCTGGATACTAAAAGGACTTAAGAAAATATTAATTTAGAATCCAAATTTGTGCCTATTTTCTATATTGGTTTGAGGAATCATGGGGCGGGTAATAAACATTTCAACTGTGCTATATTTTTCCTGAGAGGGACTGTCTGGTTCTAAGTGATAGTCACAACAGTGCTGGGGATTCTAACATCCTCGGTTTGTACAGTAATTAAAATAATTTTGTCTATGTTGGTAATATATTTCCCTAAATCTTTATGAAAACATGAGGGAAAAGTTCTCATTGTAGGCTTCTTATAAGGAGATTATAATCTAGATGACCTTTCCCCTGTCTTTTACCTCCTATGCCTTGGGTGCCACCATGAGGGAAAAATAATCCTTATTCTTCTGACACCATTTATATGTTTACTGGAATTCTGTCATAATATTCATCATTTATGGCATTGGGTCTTAAATGCATTTGGTATGTAGACAAAATTTTATGAAATTTCTATGCACTTTCTCCCTGAAATTCATATATATTCTCCATCTCTACATAATTCTAAGTAGTTTATGGATCTCCTGGTAAATATTAAGAGCATTAATGCAATTTTATTAGTGATAATTTATTGGCAGTTTCATTGAGAGCAAATTATATTTCAAATCTCTAATAGTTATGGCAGTCTTCTTTCCCACCTGAACACTTTTCAGTCTTACTTTAAGAGTGAGTGAAAAAGAAGAAAGAAATAAAAAGTCAGGATATTTCTTAAAAGAACAGATACATGCAAACTGAAGCAAACCACAAAAATATTATGTATGATAATTCAGATTTTATTGAGAAGTATACTTCTGTAGTTTGTGCATTAAGATTCCTAATTACTTGTATTATTATCTAAAAATGAGCTTAAAGTCATCTTTCATATTTTTATATGGATGGCAGAAAATTTACCTGATAATTTTTGAATATCCTGAGATATATACTATGTAATAAATGTTGTATTTGGATTTGTGCTTCTTTTATCACATATTATTTTATTTATAGTGTTTAATTTAGAGGAAAAAGTATTAAATCACTTTTTTCCTCATAGAAAATTTCTCTAGTGGTTTTCCCACATTGAGTAAAGCAAGGTGCTGAAAATCAATTTTATGGTCAGAAAAAGCTTATGGTCTAATACTTCAATCAATCCCTATGTCTTCTCTTCTGAGATAAGTATAAATCACATTCCTAGTACAGATGACTTACTGAATTTATGATTCAATTGATACCTATTTCCTGTTTTATAAATTGTGGCAAATATGATGGAATATTGATTCAATTATCTTAATCTTCAGGATAGTCTATGGGGGGGGTCCTCTTGCTCTTTTTTTAAGAAAAAATCGTATATCACACAAAATATGTGACTTTATAAATATGTAACATTATTAAATTATGATTTATAATATGAAACTACTGATAATTTATAATTTTTAGCTCTAATATTTAGCTCATCTAGAGCAAGCTTTGTAGGGATTTATTAATAACTTTATTACTTGAAATATTTTTCTATGCTCAAATTGTTTTTTTTTAACTTTATTGATTTCCATACACAGTGATTAAAATTGTAATTATTTACAATCTACCATTGATTCTCTGATGTTGCTTCTTACTTCACTGAGAAAATACAAGTTCCATCTCTCCCACCTCCCTCTTTACCACCCCGCTGCCTCTGGCCTCCAGTGTTCGCTTCTCTCGCAGACTCTAATGTTACCTGAAGCCAGCTCTCATCTTGTCTGCTTGATACCAACCCCTCTCACTGACTTAAGGATACTTCTCTTGTAATCATCCCTCTTTTACCTCTATTGTCAGTTTTTTCCCTCTTTGCTGGGTCATTCCCATAAGCATACAGATGTACAATAATATGTCACATTTTAAAAAAGGAAGAGAAGAACCACCCTAGATTTCATATCTTCTTCTAAGTTCATCTTGATTCCCTATGCTCTGCTTTAGAGCATATCTCCTTGAAAAAAGTTTGTTGCCACTTCCTCATTTCCTAGTCTCTCAGTCATTCTCTCAGTTTGTCTTTTGTCCCCATGACTCTATTGAAAACTTCCTTTTTTTTTTTCAATAGTGACGTTCACAGTGCCAACTTCAGTGATTGATTCTCAGTATTCTTTTCAGACTCCTGGCAGCATTGGTCACTGTTGTTCATTTCTTCCTTTTTAGAACACTTTCTTCATTTGCCCCCTGGGCACAACTCTCAGATTATCCCCCTATTTCACAGGCCTCTCTAGCTTAGTCTTTTTTGGTAGTGTTTTCCCCTCAACTTGGAAGCAGTGAAGTGTTTATGGCTCACTCCTAGGACCTCTTCATTTCTTTCTTTCTTTACTTGCATTTCTCACTGCCTAGCTGGTCTCTTTCAGTCTCATCACTTTAAATAGTATCTGTAATGTTGATTACCAAATTGCCCACCCTTTTTTCTGGAACTCCGAATGTGTATACTCAACATTTATCTTCACTTAAATGTCTGCTAGGCATGTTACATTTAACACGAATGGAAACAATCCCTTAATTACTCCAACCACTCTTGTTCCTCCTGCGTTTGTCCCCACTTAGTAAATAAATGGCTATCTGTTGCTCAGCCTAAAACCCTGGAGTCGCACTTGCCTTCTCTCATTTACCAACACCTGACAGTTGATCCATCAGATAGTCCCGCTGGCCCCACCTTGACAGCATTTCTAGAAGGTACTTACTTCTCATAATCTCCAGCGCTACCAACTTTCTTCAAGCCACCATGCTCTCTCCTTGACTATTGCAATAGCCTGCTAACTGGTCTCTCTGATTCTATGCTTGCTAGACTAATCCCTTTAAAACATAAATCTGGTCAGTGTCACTTGTCTCAAAACCTTCCTATGGTTTACTTCTGATTCAGAGTAAAATTGCATTCCTCACCATGGCTCCCTGCTGTTTTCCTGACTCATCTTTCACCACTCTCTTCTTGGTCACTTAGTTGGCTTCAGTTCCAGGCACACCAGGTACCCTGGCTGTTTGTTGTTTCTTGTAGTTGCCAAGCACGTCCTTGGTTCAGGGCCATTGCATTTACTTTTCCATCTGGCCCAGCTGCTTCTCTCCCAACTATCCACATAATACAGTCCTTCATTTCCTTTAGATCTCTGTTCAGGTATCACTTTGTCAGTCATATTTGTCATTCATGCCCACCCTATGTAAAACAGCACAAGCACGGCCATCACTGTTTCCACCTCACTCTTCCTGTATCTTTTCGCCATCTTATTTAACTTCATAGAACTCATCACCCTCACCACTAGAATGGAAACTCCATGAAATAGGGACTTAGACATTTTTGTCAATTTTACTGTTGTCTAGACCAGTGCCTGGAACATAGGAGATGTTCTGTTATTATATTTTATATACCATGATGGTATTGGTACCTAGAAGTCATATTTTATTCTAAAATATATTATGAATGTTGGACATTTTAACTTATAAATGTAACTAACACTGCAAGTAATTACTATAAATACTCCCTGAGACTTAACTTTTCGAATTGTACATAAATTAAGCCAATTTGGCAGAAAGAAATGACATAAACCCTTTTGTTTGATTTTATCCTAGGTATGAGTTAATACAGAAAGGAGTGACTGAACTTAGAACTGTTGGGAATGTTCCAGATGTCTACACCCAGATTATGCTTTTGGAAAATGAGAACAAAAATTTAAAGAAAGATTTGAAGCACTACAAACAAGCAGCTGAGTATGTTACTTTTTAAATGACATTTTCTTATTTTTCTTTTGGACTAAATAAAGAGTTGAATGAAGTTGATTATATGTAATGTACCAGAGCCTTAATTTTGGAAAACTGGATTTTTCTAGTTGTAAAAAATGTGAGAGGCTTCACTACCACATTAATTAAACAGATGATCAGAACTATCATAATTGTAACTTACCAACAAGAAGGGAATGCAGGGAGTTGTTTAGGAGATGGTACATTTGTTATATAACATTCACTTCCTTATGTATTTGATAGTCTTTTCATGGTTTATAACATTTTCTCCTGTAAAGAGACTAATTTCTGAAATAATAATTAAATTTATAGAAAGCCGAGAGGAAAATGCTAGTTTATTCCTAGTAGAGGAATTTCGGTATTTGAAAATTCTCCAGAAGGAATAATATAAACTGTGGACTTTGAGTGACAATGGTATGTAGGTTCATCAGTTGTTAACCAATGTACCTGTCTGTTGTGGGCTGTTGATAATGGGGAAGGCTGTGCATGTGTGGGAGTAGGAGGTGTATGGGACATCTCTGTATCTTCTAATCAATTTTGCTATGAACTTAAAACTGCTCTAAAAATAAAGTTTATTAAAAAAATAAAGAGAATTATCTATACTGTTTTCCATACAGGTTGAACTAATTTACATTCCCACCAACCATGTATGAATATTCTCTTTTCTCCACATTCTCACCAACATCTGTTATTTTTGACTTTTTAATAATAGCTGTTCTGGCTGGTGAAAGATGCTATCTCATTGTGGTTTTGACTTCAATCCAGCAATTCCACTACTGGGTATCTACCCAGTTGTATAAAAATTCCACCCATACTCTTACATTTATTGCAGCACTATTGATAGTAACAAAGTCATGGAATCAACCTAAGTGTCCATCAGCAGATGATGGGATAAAAAATGTGGCATTTATATACAATGGAATACTATTCAGCCATAAAAATGAATGAAATCAGGCCTTTTGCAGCAACAGGGATGGAACTCGAGGCCATCACTCTTAGTGAAATGACTCAGAAACAGAAAGTCAAAAACCACATATTCTCACTTACAAGTAGGAGCTAAGCAATGAGTACATATGGACATACAGAATGGAATAATAGATACTGGAAACTCTAAAAGGTGGGAAAGATGGAGGAAAGTAAGGGATGGGTAAAATATCCACTACTTACTTGGGTGATTGGTACACCAGATGCCCAGATTCATCACTATGCAATATATCCATGTAAAACAACTGCACTTTTACCCCTAAGTCTATAAAAATAAAAATATTTTTAAAAGAAAACATAAACTATCCATAATTTCACCACCCAGGGCCAGCCACTTACCATTTTGTTGAATAGCAGCCTTGACTTTCCTCAGTGCGTATATATTAATGCATATTTATGAGTAACTTTTAAATATAAACTGCACTAATACCATATTTTGTAAGTTCCTTTTTCATTCAAGAGTACGTGATTAATATATTGTATGAAAATAAATTTTATTCTAACTTAGAATTACTGAAAGGAAACCTTTGTTTAGTAATTTCCTGGCATAAATTTATTCATAGAAGAGAAGCCAAATCTCTCCACACCTTTCTTTCTACAATTGATGGAAGGCATGCAATTCCTGGTGAACAATTTTAGGTAAACAGCCAGTGTTATTCTGACAAAGATTATGTGAATGCATTAATTTGGGGTGAATCTGCTCATCTGAGGCAATGTTATATGGAGAAATCAATGCCCAGATGTGAAGCAGAGTTCATATTTTATTTATTAATTCATTTTTATTAAATATAGTTAAAAAGAGGGCCTTTCTCACTTAAAGAGGCATATTAAAACCAAAATTAGATTAATAGAATTACCATATAGGAACATAATATTAAGATTTTTGATAAGTTTAAAGAAACATGACTTTTCATTGAGAAGCAGAGAAAACATTTAAAATAAGCTCTTACTTGTGAACGATGGCAGTAAATAATTTGTATGATATCATTTATTCAAGTATTGTCCGTACTTGTAGAAATGTTTTTGCAAGGTATATACATTTTGTATTATCTATGGATGTAATGTATCATTTAGAATTTTATATTTTACATTAGAAGTGTATGATGATTCTGAAGAATATATTACTAGAACCAGTGTTCTCTCTATTCTTTGTTCCATTTCTCAAAAGTGTTTTGTACTATTTGCCCTGATGCTTACTATGATTTTGTATATTCATCTAATGGATTCACTGGGAATTTGATACAGCATATTTCTCACAGTGCTGCCTGACACACTTTCAGTTCCTGATCTCCTTTGAATTATTGCTTGAGTTTGCTAATTTTCTGTTAAATAGATCAAAGCAGCCTCTTTATGCCATAAGTTTAGCTCCAGTGACATTGAATAGTCATTGTTAAGTACTGGTCGTTTATTGAATATTATGTTTAATAGCAATAATATAAAAAAACATATTACTCATGCAGATTATTAACTTAATGTTAAAAGAAGCCAGGATTAAAATGCATCACTCAAATAAAACATCTTGTCTCACTAAAATATCAGATTATTGTTTTAATTTTAACAGTTTGTGACTGTTTCTCAAATCTATCTCATTCAATAGAACTTAAAATCGAAAAAGTTAGACAAGGAACATTTGTGTTTGCTTTACTCTACTTGACATGGAAGATTTGAAAGGAAGCTGCTTGATCCTTAGATGCTTAATCTTTATTTTACTGAGTGGATATTAAGCATGGTGTGCTTTCACAGCACGTTTTAGTAAAATGCTTCCTTATAACCTGGTTCTACTGATACATTCTTAGAAAATGGAGAATGGAGAATGAAGTTTTGTTCCGTTTTGTCAGTAGTTTTTTTGTTATACTTAATAATTGTACAAACATTTATACATATGATAATTGTACATGTGATATTTTGATACATATGTATCAAATACATTTGTACATATAATTGTACATGTGTTATTTTCGTTACATATAATGTGTAGTAATCAAATCAAGAGTATTTAGGATATCTATCACCTCAAACATGATTTTTTTGTGTGTGTTGGGAACATTTTAAATCTAACTATTTTAAAATAGATGATAAATTATTGTTAACTGTAGTCACCCTACTGTGATATTGAACACTAGAACTTAACCCTTCTATCTAACTATGTTTGTATCCATTAACCAATTTCTCTTTATCTCCCCTTTCCACCCTACATCCCCCGCATACTTCCCAGCCTCTGATAATTATCATTCTCCCTGCTACCTCCATGAGATCAACTATTTTAGCTCCCATGTGAGTAAGGACACGCAATATTTGTCTTTCTGTGCCTGGCTTATTTCACTTAACATAATGATCTCCAGTTCCATATATGTTCCTGCAAATTATAGGGTTTCATTCTGTTTTTAAAAAATGGTTTAATAACATTCCATTGTGTATATGTGCCACATTTGATTTATTTATTCTTCTGTTGATGGATACTTAGGTTGATTGCACATTCTTGGCTATTGTGAATAGTGCTGCAATAAAGTTTTGAAAAAAGTTTTCCAAACTACGTCTGTCATGCTACCAGCCTGCCCCAAATGGTAGTGTTTAATCATCTAGGTTTTTCAATTTGACTTCTGAGGATAATTTTCAAATAGTAAGTAGTGACAAACATGAGATTCCCTTTATTGAACTTGAGCTAATGTTTATATTTTTAGGATTAGGATATTTCTTAAGGCAAAATAATTGTAGATATAAAATACTTTTCTAATAATAATTTTTAATACACAAAAAAGGTTGCAGATATATATTATTCTTGATTATACTAATAGCATTTAGTGATTTATCTCTAGAAAAATCAAATAAATGATACAGCTATAAAATTAATATTTATCTGGGGGAAAGTTGCCATGAAAAGAGTACTGATCTTAAAGTTCAAATACCTTGCTTCTAATACTCTGTTACTTATTAACTCAGTTTGCTGAATTACTCCCAGTTTTCTTATTGTTAACCTGGGAATCATTTTGCATAATGTTGTTAATTTCTATGGAATAATGTGATAATTAAATGAGACAAGCTATGTTAAAGAGCTTTGTAAATCACAAAGTGCTTTGAAATGTCAGCTATTATCAATAACTCTAAACGCTGTCATCTCTAGGTTTTTATTAATCACATCATTAGTATTTTTTAAATTCAGCAACGATGAAGCATGAAGAAAGAAATGAAAGGAGAAAATATTTCACACTAAAATATCATTTGAATTGCTGTAATTAAAGCAGGCAATTGTCATTTTCTCTGTTGTCAACATTACCAATTTTTGACTACAGGTTTTCTCTGTACCATCTATAAATATAGATTGTCTATCTTCCAAAATATACAGTTGGGAAATAATTATTGAGAACATTTCTGTATAGATGTTTTTATGGAGAAAATGATCTTATTAAAAATTTATAGTTCCGTTGGAAGTACAAGTATTTCCCATACTGGATATTGAAGAAGAATGTTTTTCTCAGAAAAGGAGAACATAAATTTTCTATTGAAATGTAGACCTATTGTTATTTTAAATGCAGAAATCTAAAGTTGCATTTAAAGCAGGTGACCACAGTTGGAGAGATTTGGTGGTTGAACGAAGATTATAAAACATCACTTAGAATTATGTCTTTCACAGTTTAGACACTATATTCATAAACCTTGTTTTATTTGGTAGTTGTCATGCCAAAAGATTTACTTTGGTCTGAAGTTTATAAATAACTATTATGAGTTTTATTAATTACAACCTTTTTGCTTGATCTTCTTGCCTATTTTAACTAGCATTTTATGTCTTCTTCCCATAGTTTAGGCAATGCAAAAAAAAAAAAACCAAAAAACTTGTTTGGATGATTGATTCCTAAAATCACCATTATACTTGAACTTGAACATCTTGCAATCTGGCTTCCATTTCACTTTTTCTCAATTGGCCTTGGACACCAGAGAACTGTTTGACACCCAAATTTAGCAGTCTTTTTTTTCCATTTGTATATCCT